AGGACCAGGATTGGACACCCCTGTTCTAAATTGTCCGTAGGTGTGAATGTGAGTGTGCTTGGTTGTCTGTCTCTAAGTGTAGCCCTGTGATAGACTGGTGACCTGTCCAGGATGTGACCCTAGAGAGGATTAAGCTGTGTATTGATAATGGATGGATGGATGTTTGACTGTTTTTGTTGACGCTGAATACATTTTTGTTCATGTTGTTTCCGTTCCTCATTCGTTTCTTACATTTGTTTCTGTTGAAGAATTTCCTGCGCAAGATGGAGCAGATCTTCATGTGTGTGTGCTGCCAGGAGCTGGCCTTCCAGCCCATCACCACCGTCTGCACACACAACGTTTGCAAGGTACGTTGTGTGCATTTTGAGTGGATGTATCCACAAAAACCCTGCCCCCCCTTTTCCCCGTTTGCATGTGTGAACGTCTCCTGCCGTCTTTCTCCCTCAGACTTGTCTCCAGCGGTCGTTCCGAGCGAAGGTGTACACCTGCCCCGCCTGCCGTCACGACTTGGGCAAGGACTACGTCATGGCCCAAAACAAGACGCTTCAGTTGCTGCTTGACCAGTTCTTTCCCGGCTACAGCAAGGGCCGATGAGGTCGAAATCACATTTATAAGTAGGATACATGCACATAAGCATCCATTCTGTGCACCCTCGTATACCGTCAAGTACCTAGAGCTCCACTTTAAAAATGCATTGCACACACATAATGTACTTACCCACGGGCAAATGTATATTGCATATACAGCCATTTATGTATACAATCATTCATACACAAACAACCTCAGTAGGGACTGACCTCATCTGCTGAACTTGGACTGTCTCCATTAACATCACCAGCCTGAAATTCAACCGAGGACATTTTTTTAAAACCTCCCCACTCCTGCCACACAAACGCGCACAAAAAACAAACGCACAAAAAGGAGCCCCAACTCAAACTCCCACAAGCCATCGTAAAACATCGGTTCATTTTTTTATTTTTTATTTTTCCCTTCCACTGTGTCGTCCACCGGTTCCATCGATTGACACATAGCACGTTGTTTGAAATTTCTCAATAGCATGAGATCAGCTGTTAGATTCCTGCCAACCTGTTTGCATTTTGTGTACCATGTGTGCAGCTCTTCACACCAAAACACTGATCTGAGTGTGTGTGTGTGTGTGTGCTCGGTGCTACCAGATGATGAAATTAAGAAAGTCCTGAATTACCACGCAGTCATAAATGAAACGAAGCACACGATGTTTTCTGCCGTTGAAGCACTTTATCATTGACATGTGCATCAGACTTGTTTTGTGGGTTAATCAGAAGCATTTACTAGCATCCTGTTAGCTGCTCGTGTCACTTGGAATGGTGCCATTGCCATGCCTTCAGCTAATAAGAATAGCAAATGTCTCGCCAGGGGTAACTTTCCGTGTTTTGGCAGAGAACAGAAATTGGCAGCTGTGTCCAGTTTGTTTGGAGTGTTGGAGGATTTCCTGCTCGAGCAAGGCTTTAACTTTATACACTAACAGAATCCACCAATGACACAAATCTCTGTTTAGATTTCACGTGGAGTCATAAACAGTATTTACCAAACACGAGGCTGTGGGGGCAACAATCGTAGGATCTGATTTATAAAAGACAATTTGGATGAAGAATCACACCCTCAAGTGAAAGGCAACAGTCAGTACACTACCAGTTTATCAGCTTCCTTTACTTAGACGCTGTTTGTTTCTATTTCTGAGCAGCTAAAAATAAATGTACAAGATGCACTTAATGCACTAAAAACCTCTAACAGTGTCTAAATAATTGAGCAAACATAATGTAAAGACATTTATCTGCTTCATGGTTCCACAGACTAACCCGTCCTTGTACACAGGATGAATACGTTTTCTTTTATTGACCAGACTGAAACCTGCGACTGCATTAAACGTCTGTAAAGCGTTAGATGAGCCGCATACGCGTTCCCTTCAGTGACATCTGAAATGGCACACTGTGGTTTTGTCCCTGGTGTTACCAAGCAACCACAATAAAGCAGGACTTCACACAAGGATGGTTAGCATATATTGTGCTCAGCAGATATTCATCTGCTATTGTTCTTCCTGTTCGGCTCGGCGTAGCGTTCTCTGGAGGGCTCTGGGCGTCCGGCATGATGCACGTCTCCTTCATTTCAGAGAAACCAGTCTGATGAGTAATTGCACCGGCAGCGCGACGTGGATTATTTGTCACATTAACGTCCAGAAAATGGAAATGCGGCTGTTTTAGTTGAGCCAAACAAAAGGCCACTGATTTGTGCTCGCTGATAAAGAGCTTCCCACTCAGCGTGATCCACGCAGCCGGGGCCAAGCTGTACAGTTCCCTAATGTACAGTAGACAGACTGTTTCATATCGCCACGGATTGTTGTTCACCGGTGCTGCCCTTCACAACAACCAGAGATTGATAAGAGTGCCTTGTAGTACTTTTCAGTACTGTCAAGTACCAAAAGATCGCACCGAATTCAGGTTCCTAGTTAAGTTTAGACTTTTAATCAGACATTTACTGATGTTAAAATAACCGTTTTATTCTTGTGAGGCTGCTTGTGTTTAGTCATCGATGTGTTCTAGTGTGTAGTCTCGTGTTGGTTCTGAAGCTCGTAGTGAAATGTTTTGAATCCAAGAGAGAGTTTACAACAGTGTTTATGTGAGAGTTCACTGAGACGCCTCTGGTTTTATTAATACACAACTGAATATTTTTTAAAAAGTAATGCATGTTGTTACTCAGGCGTACATTGAATATGTAAAGAAACATTCGTGCAAAGTGAAGCTTAAACTGCGTTCTTTACTGGCATCAAGAGAAGCGAAGCAGCCTGAGTTCATCGTTTAATGTCCGAGCCCCCTCTTGGTCCTTTTTAGCCAATAAATAGGTCATCCAGGATGTTTTAATTGGAAAACAACACCTGGGAAAAAGAGTAATTTGTGAGTTCATCGTCACGAGGAATTTGTGTTTGTAGTCGAGAGAGAAGCCCGAGAACAAGAAGGAACCGAGGAGGAGGAGGAGGAGAGGCGTTTTCAGAAGAACTGGGATGACAAACAAAAACATCGCAGAGTTCCTAAAAGGTCGGCTGTGCTCGATGCGTTCAGTTCACATTAGTTGGATTCCTTGACACAGAAAGTCGCTTCCAAAAAGACAGAGAAGACTAGCTGATTTATTTTGGATATGCCGGATAACAAGGAGGCTTGTTTACATACCGCGGTACATGTTTATAAGGATTATGAGCGTGTGTGACAGAAGGAGATCGCTTTTTTTTTTCTTTCCTTTCTTTCTTTCGAGTTTTCTGGCTCCACACTGAGGTGAATGTTTTCAAGTGTCAAAACATGAGAGCGTGTGGATGTCACGTCTAACCTGCAAACTAAACAGAAACATGAGGATCTCGTTTGTTTCTCCCAGATCGTCAGGTCGATCTAAAATCCAAACGATAATGGCAGCTGTGAACACGATACAAACAAATCTGGATGTGTGTGTTCTCCTCAGCAGAAGATTCACCACGTTGTTGGTCTGAATGAAGCTCAAGGCTGTTTCCTAACTTTATTTTTAAAAAAAAGCTACTTATTTTGGATAACGAGACACATTTTTGTATTTATTGCTTTTCTTATGTGTACCTCTTCGGCGAGACTAGTTAAAACTAGACAACTAAAAGCACTTGGAAATCTCTTTTTTTCCCCACAAAACATTCGATTCCTGCTTTTATCTGACCTCCACCATGAAATCCATTTATTATTTTTACCTTCTGCTGCATTGTGACCATTTTATTTGCAGATATTGATGATAATTAAATGCTGAGGCGCGTTTATCACACATAGAAAGTCGGTTTTCGCAGAGACAAACTCGTTAAATGACCGTTCTTACATTGTGAGCAGCTCACACAGATTCTTCTCCGGTGCTGACATGGTACTTTTAAAATGTCCAGGGTTGGCAGGTTTAGAGCAAACACCCCCCCCACTGTGGAGAGCAGCGGGCACATCGCCGGACCTGTGGTGTGGACGGAGGTCACCTGGAGTGCTAAAGTTCAGTTACTGTACACGAGTTGAGGGGAAAATGTAGCCCTTGTTCAATGCCACTGTCACGTTTGAGTGTAACAGCCTCGACGGCAAAAGCCATGTTTCTGCTGACACGAAGACAGCCTCGGCCGAGCTAACACGCTGCTGCTGCGCACATCAGTGTCTTACATCTCTGTCGACGTTCAGATCAGAGACGAGAGCTGTCTGTCTGACCCCCCGTCGTCTTACCGACACTCCCTCCTATTTTTTTTTTTCGTCATTGGCAGGCTGTTTGTTTGTTTGTGGTGATGTCCTTGTTTCTGTTCAATCATTCAGGATGTTGTTTTTTTTTTTTTTGTCTCTTTTTACCGACAACATGCAAGTACAAATGCTACTATGGTCTTTAAAGCTAACTGTGATGTGCATTACTTCCACTGTTGCTTAAATCTTGTTCCGATTATTTTTTCTTCACGCATTGACTGGCAAGCTAATAGCCCTCCTTTCTTTCTCTGCTGTGACCTTTGCTCCCTCTCCTCTCTTTCCGCAGTCTTCTGCCCTCCGTGAACCTACAGTACTAACAATTTTTAGACGTCTTGTGGACGCTTGGCTTCGGTGCTGTGTTGTTTTATTTTCATTGCACTCTTATTGAAGAAAAAAAAAAAAAAGTTTGAGAAGTCACATTTAATTTTCCTAGAATGCTTACTATTATCTATGTCCGTACACCATTTTTATTTTATTTTTTTTTCTACCATTTTAGTTGCTTCTCTTCGATTTTAATCATTAGTCATTTTTATGTCGGCGACCTCAAACATTTGCAGCAAAACGCCAGTCTGAGGAGTTTCATTGCTTCATATTGTGATCTGAAATTTTATACATGTCATAATAATACTTGATATGTACCTATTAAATATTTGGATTCAAGAAAGAATGTCTTTTCTTTTTGTTTGGTCTTGTATTTTTTTTATGGGTTGCAGGAGGCAAAGAACTTTTGGTTTCACTGTAAAGTTTGTAGTGAGTGACATTAATGTTTGCTTCTGGAAATAATCCACACGTACCAGTTATGTTTGTACATTTCTTAAGCTTTTCTGACTTTTTTTCCTCCTATTTTGAAGAAATTAATGAGATATTCTATCAGTTGAAGAGGCAGTGTTTTCTTTGCCACATTGAAGTTCATTTTTTTACTTTTTAATTTCACCTTTACCCACAGTTATGAAGCAGTGGAAAGGCAATGTAAGCACTTCATATAATAACGATTTAAAATACAATTTTTTATAAAGCGCGTTTTAAAAACAGTTTATGTTTGCCTTACAGACAGGCCAAAAAAAAGGTGGATACTCAGAAAGACAATTAACCTGATATGTATTTTTTATTTCTCTTTGCTATTTAATCTGATTATATGGCAGAGAATAAAAAAAGGAAAAATATAAAGAAAATAAAAATCTATTTAAAAAACAAAA